TCATAGATTATTAACAGTTTAATTAAAGTGAGACATTTTTTTTTTCATTCTGCTCTTGTGACTGATAGTTAGTTTCAATGGGTGATGATAGAGTATCATGGTTCCCTAATTTATCTATGACAGTCAACCACGGATTTTCAATAAATCTGCATTCCATAAATTTTTTTTTGCAGTGGGAAACTTGGCTAGCTTCGCCGATTTCTTTTCTTTTCTTTTCGTCTCTTACAATTTTATTTATCATAAATTCTCTTTTTAATTGCTTGCCCACTTTCGTCTTCATATTTGCTTCTTATTTGATATATTCTTAGACATTGTTTGCTCTAGAAAATTCAGCAGTGTGATAATTGCAAATTGTCGGTATGGAGGTTTAAAATCCCCTCAGATGTAATCTTTGTGAGATATTTTCGTTTTGAAGGCATTATTTTATTACTTAGGACGCAATTTCAGGGCTCCTGCTCAGCTCAATAGCTTTGTCTTATATGCATAGACGAATCATGCAAAACTAGGTGAAATAATCACAACTTCTCCTTTTCAGCGCGTGAGCAATCGGAAACTAGGCCAGCACGATGTAAAGACAACCACTGACTTATCGGCAACAGTTTGGTCCCGCATAGGCAAACAGTACATTCACAATGAATGATACTTTGTCCGGGAAAAGACGTCTTCAACTCCTTCTTAGCTTAAGAAGTTCTTCTGAAATTGTATTAGAAACGTCAACTGGGTCAATTCTTGCTGCTGTGGGACTGTACGGTAATGTGCTGGTTTTAATCGTTGTTTACAAAACACCCAGACTCCGAAACTCAGCTGGTATATTGATTAGGTCGTTAGCGATTTCTGAACTTGCCATGGAAGTGTTGCAAATTCCATTGTTTTTGTCCTCAAATATCGCTGGTAGATGGCTAGGTGGATTTCATCTTTGCCAAGTCAGTGGCTATTCAGTAGCGTTTCTGGCCTGCATGTCGTTACAAACTATGGCCTTAATGGCGCTTGACCGTCATTTTTGCATCGCTTACCCACTGAGACACCGAATCTCGTATTTAGCGTGAAGCGAACAAAAGCGATGACAGTTGCTTTGTGGTTGTTTTCATCCACAGTGCAACTTCCGTATGTGGCAAATGGCGGTGTATACACTTTTCATCCCGGTAAATGCATCTGCTTTGTGGATTCGTCACCTCTGGCGAAAGTGTACTTAGCTTTGAGGGCCCGATACTCTTAGGATGACAACACAAGAAATCAAGTTAATCAAGACGATACTGGTAACAGTACTTGCATATGCGATTTGCCGGGCACTGGTCATAATAACTGATTTGGTGGACCAGGTTCGAGGTGGATGGGCACATCCTCGTGGTTTTTATGTGATATACACAGTTTGCGGCATTGCAAGTTCGTGTATTAATCCTGTTGTTTATGGTATCATGAACAAGTCTTTCCGTGGGGAATACATAAGGTTGCTGGGACTTAACAAAACTAAAAACTTTGATAGTTCTTTAGCCTCGGTTAAAAGGTAAAATTGTTTTTCGCACGTAGAAACAACTTAAAGTAGTATTTTGCCGAGTGCCAGTTACACCATTACAGGTTTAAACAATTTTCATGTTCCTTCGCAATTAAAAGATTTTTAAAAGGTTTTTAGAGAAAGATGTTGTTCTTCTTTTCACGACCGTGGGACAAGGAAAAAATTCTGAGTCCCCGCGAGGAATCGAACCACAGACCTTCGGAGTCCGCGCTCCGACGCTCTACAAACCAAGCCACAGAGACTCTATGGTGAGCAAGGCCCATTACGAAGTTCATATATGACACGCGTCCTGCACACTGCTAAGATCAGCAATGTCGACAGCATCATGTTTATAAACAGAGTAAGGAAGATTGTAGGTTTTGAGCTCGTTAAAGAAATAGAAAAAGATGTTTTCGTCTTGTCACGAGCGTTAAACAAAGAAAAAATTCTGAGTTTTTCTTTGTCCTTAATAGGCACATTGCAGCATATTGTATGAAAACGTTAAATTTGGACCTACTCTTAAAACGTGGTTGCCTTATGTGTAGAATAAAAGTTAATTCAAAATATTTTTTCCCAATTTTACTTTCGTCAGTCTGTCTTATTCAAGAGCTGCAGCTTCACTCTGAATCATATTTGAAAGGTGCTTGATAGCTCATTTCTGCAGGTCGCTCATAGAGCGTGTCTATTCTTAGTGATAATGGATCGTAACATAAACAAATAGGCTAAAAACACGACATTATATCCTGTTGCTCTAAATTATTCAAACGGTCCGCACATGTAATGGTTTGTACATTATTCTCAAGCAAAGGGGTTCTTTGATGAACTCCTAAAATTCATAACAAAATGGCATTTTGTAAAGGCCTATAGCGGCATTTCTGAGATGATGAGACCCTTCGGCGCAGGCTGCACCTTAAGAATTTTTACATGCAAAACGTCTCCAGAAAGCAGACCGAGTAATCTTTCCATAAAACAAGTTCCATTCAAGACCTCTATCTGCTGGGTACGAAAATCATGTCCTTGGACATAACGTCGTCACTGCAAGGACCAGCGGTTGTATTTGCAATAGAAGACATTTAAGGCGAGGTACTGTGTTTGCGTCAGACTTAAGAGGATTCGAGTCACACAGTTTATCGCATACACACTTTTTTTTAGAAATAAGAGCCTTTTCATAAGAATGTTTAAACTGAGATTAATCAAAATTTTACGAACATACTAAGAACATTCCTTGGCTGAGAGTCAGTTAATAACGTTTTAATTTTGCTCTTTTTTTGGTGAGAAGTTTAAATTAAGGTAAAAGAAATGTAAAACTGTGGTCTAACAAGACAATTTACTCAAATACCTTAGGGCCTTTTCCAACATTAATAATGCGGTTTTACTATTGCACGATACACTGAAGCCGGAACAACTCAGTTTGTAGTCGAACTTCGTCTAGTCTCGTCCGAATGGAGTTTATTGAAGTACTATACCACACATCTTAAGAACATGTTAAGAACTTTTTTAAGCTCAAATTGCGAAAAAATAAGAACGTTCAGCCTCAGCCCCAAAATAAGACATTCTTATGAAAAAAAAATAGTGTATGGCCTTCATGATTAAGAACACCGTGATGCTCTGGTATTGTCAATTGAATGTTGATTCAGTTTATCACATTTTCCCATTTAAATGTATTTAAATGCATTTTGAGGAGGCCTATACACGACCACACGACCAGAAGTAACTTACAGCGTTATCAAAATTACCCTGCGAAGAATAGAAGTAAGAATTTTAAATAATCATTTTTTTTTTAATTCCGGCAGGTGAAAATAAAACTAAAAGGTACGACGACGGTTAAGATTAAAACGGATTGCAAATGATCGGCGAACTTAAGAATTTTTGGCCCGATTTTTTAACATTAAAAAGCCGTCAGGTATAGAAAACGATTTTTAACCACAGTAAATTTGATAAAAAAAATCGCAATATTTTTCACTTCTGGTCTTGCCAAAAGTCGTGCGGTACAAAATTACGATCAAGTTTACAAAGCTTTTACTAGTTTGTAATAAGTACATAAAAAATGAACCTTTTAACTGTTTATGGATAAAATCAAGACACTATCTTACAAGTGAAGTGCTCCACTAAAAATCGATAGAGAGATAAAGATAACCTAATTTGCTTTTAACAGCTCCCATGGATTTCTCATATTCCATTTCGTTTGGTAAAGCATTCGAAGTCTGAAATGGGTCTAGATTATCAGATTGTTTTCTTTCTGTCTTCAATTGAGACAAACTAAAATGAAAAGAAATGAAATTTGTTTCATTGAACTGTGTTCAAAATGCGTCGAATCATTCGTTAAACCTTATCTGTGTTTTTTTTTTCATTCCTTCCTGTTTCAAGTTCCACTATGCTTAATCGGTTGAGAAACGTTTGTCTGCCCTCGATTGAAGTGTTTAGCCTGAAAGTGAAGTGCAAAGCCTCGTTCGCTAAACATAAGCCAAAATACAACCACTGGGGACTAAATTTTCTGAAGTTTAATTTTAAAATCTCCTTTTATTTGTTTGTTTTTGAGTTGGTTATATACATAAGTTAGCCTCACTACATTTGCACAGCATGAGAGGGTAAACAATACGTTCCAGCTGCTAAACCTCATTTCGTGGACAACAACTCTTTCAGTTCTGATGAGATTGTTTCATTGTAGCTCATTTAGCCAGCGACCTCAGACGTTGCGTTCCTATTGAGAAACACTTTTTTGGCTGTATTGGTTTTTTTTATTTCGTTTGATATTTTGAGAAAAAAGCGAACGTTAAATAACCTCTTGTAAATGCTTCAAGTGTCACTGAGAGGTAATCGACGTCGAGGCCTTTATCTTTGAGACGTTAATCATGATGTCTTGTCAAACAATCGTAAAATTTTCGAAATGTATTAAACACGGTGAACACTTACTCGAATAAAAAAACGGCAATTTACCTGTTTCATTTCACAAACCGATCCCCGCAATCGATACGAACAACAACAAAATCAAATTCAGTATTGCGCAAACTGCATATCTAGCAAACATCATAACGGGAACTGAACTCATGAAGTGGTTTCAAGCCATTTGGACACTTTTTTGTTAATTACTTTTTATATTTCATTAAAATGCTTTTTCGGACTCTCAATCCCGATGATGAATTTCCTCGGCCGAGCCCAAATTTTATCATGTCGTTTCTATTCAGCGAAAGACGGTGCATTCGATTCAAGCAAAATCCAGGAAAGTTTTCACGTGCATGTCATGAATACCTGGCTCTTGAAATAACCTTTATTGCCAACGAGCTCTCAAATGGTGGATTGAATCAACTCGCAAAACCTTTGCGAAGGATCTCGAGAGTGTCAAAGTCTGGGATTCGTTTTTATAGCTGAAAGTTAAGCCTGATTAAGAGTAGCTTAGACTTATCGATGTGAGAATCGAAAGCTTGTGTAAGATCATTTTCTTTTGATAATATTGCTTTGTAGAATCTGCTATTATGCAAAAGTGAACTTAAAAGAGAGTTCCGCAATATTTCCTGTTTCTAAAAGTATCCTTCAATAATCAGCATAAATTAATAGTAACATAAGGAATACAAGGCTAGAATTGTTAGTGTTGTCTTGCTCTTGGATATTCAATCAGGGAACTCGGCATTTCGTGATTTTAGGTTTCCGCTTCGTCACCTCTTACGTAGTTCTGGTGGAAGAATACACAATCAATCAACTGGGATTCTCTGGGGCTCAAATCATCACAAAGATTATTATGTCTTTTGTCAATCCTTTCTTTATAACTTTATCAATGTTGCTGGTAAATTTCCGGCGTGGCGCTATTATTTCGTTCGTTGACCCTACTCAGTTCCTTCCCGTTAGCCGCCTGATTTCCTATTCTTCCCCTTTTGAAAGGAATTCTGGCTAAAATAGCTTCTTTCAAGCTTGGAATTCGCCAGGAATAAAGAAAAGGATTGAGACTTGAGTTAACCCAGATGGAAATGTACTGAAGGTCTCGAAACCAGTGAATTGTAACGCAGCTACAACTTCGGCAGAAGTTTAAAATGTAAATAATTACACAAGAAGGGGTGTAACAGATGAAGAAAGCAACGAGTACCAGCACGAATGTCTTCGCTATGCGCCTTTCATGCTCGAGAGCCTTTCTGTTTGCGGTGTCAGAATTCATTCCAGATTGAAGCTGCGACGACATCTGAAAATGTGCGCGAAGTCTGCGGTAAATTGTGACGTAAGAAAAGAACAGGATTACCACGGTGGCAGCGATGATCGTGTTGGCGAAAACAAAAGCGTATTTGATGAAACCAACTTCAAAATACACCGACACAGGTAACAAAATGGAGAAAAGCCAAATGCAGGTCGAAACAAGCACAGCTCGTTTCGGGGTTATTTTGTTTCTGTGAACGACTGGATGCGCAACGGCAATGTAACGATCGACAGCCATTGCTATGAGGCAAAGAGTTGACGCCGTGCAGCAGACGAAATACGCCACGTGAACTACGGGAAGAACGGGTAAATTGGGATGAGTTGTTAATGCCTCGAGCAGGTGAACATACGCAGAAATTGTCAGCACGATGAGTCCGACAATGAGGTCAGCAAATGCCAAATTGAAAACCAAGCAGTTGAACGCATTTCGTAGCAGTTTTCGTCTCTCTTTACAAACTGCCCAGCAGATCAGAAAGTTCGGCGGCACTGTAAAGAAAAACAAGAAAATTGAAATAACCGTCGTCAAAAACGATAGTGATGTTGGAGGAGGTACATAGGAACAGTCTTTCTCGAAAAGTGCCATGACTGCCTTTGCTTTGAGCTTTTTCAGTAATATTCAGCACTACTGTTTTCGCGAGCTTCGAACAAGCTGGAACAAATCTCGTCGACTTGGAGGAAAGTTTCGCAAGACAATGACTCAAGCCTTGCAACCAACAGAACATGTATCCTGTCGATTGTATTGTTAGGGTACTTAAAGCGAGACAGCTGTTAAGAAGAGATGCATGTATTTTATTAGTAATGCAGAATTTGTACTGTTTAGAGCCATTAATAATTTTTATTTTTGCTATGTGACGTTATGGAAGATAGTTGCATTATGTGTCTAATGAACTAACAGTTAATGATTATTTAACTTTCATATCGTATCTCGCACATATCTTTATTGTGCTGGCCAAAGCCTATAGGCACAATTTTTGCCATAAATAATTAAGAAACTGCGAAAGGATCAATACACAAACCAAATAATTACTAAGAGGGTCAGATATCGAAAATGCAATCAAATTTGATGAGAAGAACGTTTTTGAAAAAATCAATGAAATGGTTCACTCAGACACGAAAAGCTGAATATGAGAGTCATAAATAGCGAACAACTTTTCGGGCTGATTCTTTCAAACATAAAAACATAAGAAGTTATTACTTAGAGAAACAACTAATGGCGCGTTTTCATGCTGCGAAAGAGAATACGTGAAGTGAAGGTACATTTGCGATAAATAATTCTTGCTTTACTCTTCAAACTCTTCTTCAAACTTCAAACTCAAACAAGTACTCTTCAAACTCATTCAATGAGTCACTACTAACTCAAATTGCTTTAAAACTCTCACCTCGAGATCAAATCAAATTTTAAACTTTCTTTAGTGCGGGGATCCATATCAAAGCCACCCTACCGATTGCGATAATATTTTTTAGTCTCTGGCTGTGAAAATTAGAAAATTCGTTTTCGCGGGTTCACAATTTAGGAGAAGCTTTTCTTTCTTCAGCCAGCATCAGTCTAGCCCGTGGTTTGGGTTTTTTTTTTTCACTTTTTATTTTTTTTAACATGAAACACCTGTGAGCTACGAATGCAAAAGAAAGGTCGAAATAAAAAATCATTAGTCGGGGAAAATAAAAATATATTATAAAATGTCTTGTGATTAAGATTAATTTTATCGTCTGTCACCTTACGATGTTTGATGCGCCGCTGTGATTGGTTGTTTTATCGCGGCTTTGATTGGTGCTTTTTGAATCTCACTGTTTTGCTGAGCAGTTTCTCAGCTGTCCCGGGCGATTCTTCAGTAGTATTTCTTTATAGTAGGCAACTGTGCATTTAAAATTTCGTTTCCGCTTTCGTTTTGATATTGCAAATGCAAATCAGTGTCGATTAGTCGTAGAGGGCAGTGTATTTTCATCGGGAAAATAGACCCGTGGAATAGAAATTACATACATATGCATGGTGCCAGTTATATGGAAACACCACTGCAGAACAAGGATCATTGAAAAAGCGCCAAACAAAGTTCTTACGACTAATATCACTATAATCAATAATTTTATTATAACTATGGACAATGACATCGTTGGACGTTTCCTGAATCTAAGCGTAAGTTATTATTTTTCTTAAGTGAACAGTGGAGTTTCACTGGAATCTTTTGCTTTGTAAGTCGACATTGATGGACCAGTTTTGTTCTACAGTCACCGACTTTGCCATCAAGTTGATCCGTTTGAATTCGTCGTTTACACAGTGATTTCAAAAGTTCTTAGCAAGGTGTCAGTAATGTTTGACATCTGTTGTCAAGAGTCTGTCAATGTTCTACCTTAGGATCAGTTTGGTATTTAGATCTGCTTCGCGCTATGAAGCCGAAGAAAGAGTCCACGGGCAATTCATAACTGATATGAAAATTATATAAAACTTTTTCCCCACTGGTTTCAGGTTCGTATTCGCGACCTGTAGCACTACCTCAGTAGCCATGATGATATTTTACGACTTCAAAAAAAAATACCACACATTTATTTGATATTGACACAAGGAGAAGTGATTGCAATAACTCTCGATTACCTCTTTATTTTTCAAAGCAGAAATGAAACTTTCCACATCTTCTAAATTGAATTCTGAAGTTTTTTCTTTTTTTTTATCAAGAGCTAATTTTTCATTTTTGTTCTGCAATCTTCAACAATATACCTGTGGGTTTACTCAAGAGCACCTGTTCTGGCTCGTCCATATTTTTTTCATAGTCGTGTGATATTTATCTTAGGTGTTATGATATTTCGTTGAATTCTACGGCCCGCCTAGAACCGCGACGACAGTCACATCGGCCCGCCCTGAACCGCGACGACAGTTAGATGTAGTATATATTCATTCGACAAATATCTCGTCTACAACGCTGCTCATTTGATTGCCATGTCCCTTTACGAGAAAGACTGTTCCGATGTGCCTCCTCCAATATCACTTTCGTTCCTTACGACGGTCATTTCCTTCGTCCTGTTTTTCTTTATAGTGCCCACAAACTTTCTCATCTGCTGGGCGGTGTACAAGCAGCGACGAAAACTGCTGCGAAATGCGTTTAACTGCTTGGTAGTCAATTTGGCATTTGCCGACCTCGTTGTTGGCCTTATCGCACTGACGATATCTACCAATGTTCACCTGCTGGAGGCATTAACAAATCATCCTGACTTACCAGTTCTTGCAGTGGCTCACGTATCGTATTTCATCTGCTGCTCGGCATCAACTCTCAGTCTCACAGCAATGGCTGTCGATCGTTACATCGCTGTGGCGCGTCCAGTTATCTACAGGAACAAAATTCGCCCAAGCCATGCGCTCGCTGTATCCGTTTGCGTTTGGATTGTATCCATTTCCCTGCCGTCAGTGCTGTATTTCGAAATAGGATTCATTAAATATGCCTTTGTTTTTGCCAATATGGCAATCTTTGCGACCGTAATTATATTTTTCTTCTCGTACATCTCCGTGTATCACAAACTTCGTACACAGTTTCAGATGTCGTCGCATCTTCATTCCGGCATGAACTTTGAAAGCGCCAATAAAAGGGCTCTTGAACAGGAAAAGCGCATAGCGAAGACATTCGTGCTCATACTCGCTGCATACCTCATCTGTTATACCCCTTCGTGCGTGATTATCTACACTTTGAACTTATGCCACAGTTGCAGCTGCATTACGATTCATTGGCTACGAGATCTTCAGTATGTTTTCATCTGGCTAAACTCAAGCCTCAATCCTTTTCTTTATTCTTGGCAAATTCCAGCCTTCAGAGAAGCTGTTTTAGACAGTATGCCTCTTAAAAGAGGAAGAGGTTTGAACCAAGTTGCTCCTGGCCAGTCGTTAGAAATGATCGAGGACAATTCAATCCTTCGAGCGAGAGTAACTATCTCTTAGAGGAGAAGGTCTCGAGCTTGTGCATTGACTTTCTAAATGCAATTTCTGTTTTATTTTAAATAATGAAATTGTTCAGGATCAAGAAAAAACAAACTTCTACGTTGAGATGAATCTTATAAAAGACTGAAAATTTGGCACTTTGCTAAGGAGAGACATAAGTATTAGAACTATCATTCATGGCTGCATGCTATTTTTTGATCAGTGACTTTTTTCTTTCATTTCATCTTCTTGATAGTAAACGCGTGCAACGGAAAACCAAGTAACTGCCAGTTGAATATGGAATTGAATTAATGAACGAGTGTTGGCTTCAATTTTTAACCAACAGGACCTCTAAACAGTCGCGATAAACAGAATGCAACACAGTCAAGCTGTCTCAGTCCTGAGCCCGCCTCAAACTGAACTTGGATCTCTGAGTTACAGGACAGCTATTCCGCCGGATAAATGCATGTCACTATTACACCTGCCCATATGAAACAGTCATGTCCCTTTTTCTCTATAGGAACAAGTCTTGGTTATATGATAGCTCTGTTTACCCAGGCAAAAGGCCATTCCAAACTCGGTGTAGATTTTTGGAATATTTCCTACTTTATTATTATAGCAGAAAAAAGTGATATATAAAGAAATAATGGGAAGACCATCCGATCCACAGCATTTTCTTTCAAACTAAATAAGTTTTATTTATCAACATGAGTCAGATATGATGAAATTTTCATCTAGAACATTGTCACCGTAAACTAAGACATGTAGAAAATATAATAACAACGCAAAGTATCTCTAATTAAATTTCATATCAGCTCGATCATGACTTGATTATTGAAGTAAAAGCTGTCAAAGATGATGAGAATAAAGAAAACCTCATTTTCAACTCCAAAAAATGGAAAAGGTAACGCTTTAGTCGTTACGTACAATTAACGCTGTTTGTTGTAAGGTCGTGAAAAACTCGAAGGTTACAGCTAATAAAATCTTTGTTCTACAGGTGTTACTACCATTGTGGCTGTCGATTTAATTTTTTTTCCCGAAACCAATCGGTCGGATTTTTTGCGTTTACCTTGCCATTGATTTGGCAAGAACCCACGTCATTAGCTAACAAGTCAAACTCGCAACGTTTAGGGCGACAACTTCCCTTAAACCTGTAATTAAGACACACACGTAAATGTCAAGTTTTGTACGATATAACATGTAATTTCCTCTGTTATTGGAGCAGCTCTGATAAGATCAATATCGCCGGATACTGACCAGCCCTATTACACTTCATTTTTGCGACACCTTATTTTTGCGATTTCCTCAATACAGAAATGTGTAAAAGATGCCTTAGCTTGCTTTCGAATATCAATGAAAACACATAAAGTGAATGGATTTTGAACGATAATAAAAGCTCTTAAAATATCTGCTATTTACTTAATTTTCGCACGGGTAAAAGTTTACGACACACGCCTTTTTCAGTGATAGATTACAAAAATCATGAAGATAAGGTGTCACAAAACTTAAGTATAAAGAGGCACTTCGTGTTCATCAACAAGCTATCATGTGACCAGCAGAATGGTACGAAAAGCATCTTTAAGATCATAGCTATCAGAGAGGCGAAAGAAGTTCCCAGTACATATCTTCCTGAGTTCGTATTCATAGATATTACAAATGGCTTTTAAAACCGACGTTGGTCGAGGCCACAGGACGAGACGTGACCTCAAGGCGTTTGACATCGATAATTCGGGAAACTGTAATTTGCACCGCAGCCTTCCTGTTTAACCACGCTTGTCAATCAAAACTGATAAAACGTAGCATTCAAGCGATCAACCTGCTCGTCTCCGAAAGATATTTATAAAAATTATGAGAGACAAAAAGCACGCCTCTTAAAAAAATTGCTCTCCTAGAAAACAGGCTCAACTTGTAAGCGAGAGGAAAGTTCTAGGCAGTAATTGATTGGGAACACCCTCATACTCAAGGTCGTCTCTGAGTTTTTCTCAGGTACCGTTGATTTAGCATAAGAACTGAAGACGCAATGTCATAATATTTTCTGTGTATAGCACTCTATCCCATGCAGGCCTGAATTTTTTCCAGGCCTTATTTTCACAGCTGCTCAAGTAGTGTTCATTACTGCGAAGATCGCTTTCATAATCACGTCTTTATCCGCAGTTCACATATATGATTTTCTTATATTCACAATCACTCTATATTCTATCTTTTAAATTGGATCTACTTGAGTGGAACTAGTATCATATCACTTTCCGGCAAGGTGCATCCGAAAGTTGCGAAATGAAACCGTGAGATAATCAGCAAGGTTATATCGACAATATTAAGTGACACTTAAAGCTTTTTGTGAAACGCCCCCGAACCTTACCGTACATATATAGTGAAAGTACTGGCTGTCTTGATGGAATATCTTGTGTTTGTGTCGTGTTTGATTTGAAACTTCATTGAACTGTACATTTTAAACATTTCTTTTTGGGCCAGGGCCTCCTCTTGGAATGGATAACGTAAATCTTCTTTCCAACAACACAACTGTAAACGTGCATCAAACAAATGAAAAGCAACAAGAAAAGACGGTACCTGTAGCAGTTTCTCTCCTGATTTTGATTGCCCTTCTAGGATCCGCCGCAAATCTTCTTGTTTTAAGAGAAATATTAAAACTGAAGACAAGAAAGCTCCATGAGTATCTAATACTGAACTTGGCGACCACCGACGCGGGGACGTGCCTAATAAGCATTCCTCTTGATATTGGAGAGCAGTTGACTGGCGAGTTTCCTTACGGAGCCGTTCTTTGCCACATCATTTATCCATTTCAATCCGTACTTGTTTATGTCTCCGTCATGACCCTGTTATTTATGTGTGTAGAGCGTTTCAGACTGATAGTCACACCACTGAAGCCAAGAATACGAGTTAAAACTGGTTTGACTGTCATAGCTGCTATATGGCTTTTATCCGGCCTTATGGCGCTACCTCTATCGCTTGTTCTGAAGTTGAAAGGATCTTCATGCAGTGAAGAATGGCCAAACGCTTATATTGTCAAGATGTTCACTGTCATCATTTTCATCCTTCTTTACTTAATACCTTTGAGTATCATGGCTTTACTCTACACTTGCACGGTTTGCGTGCTTCAAAAAGATACCAGGTCCTTAAAGATAAAACGACAAAGAGGAACGAGAACATTCTCACAGGAATCCATCGATGACAGATTGGAGAGAAACTACACAGTTGTAAAAGCATTCGTGATATCTGTTCTTGTGTTTGCAATCTGCATGTTACCAACACATGTTACTTGGCTATGGCACGATTTTGGCAACGGCTCCGAGAATCCTTACGGCTTATTTAACAAAGTGGCAACGTTTAGTAACATACTCACTTACACAAATTCTCTTGTTAACCCCTTTATTTTTGGCTCAATCATGATTAATTTTGAGAGATTTGTAAACATTTTTAAAAATTTCATTTGCTGCCGTTGTTTGAGAAGAGCGAACGATTTTTATGAAATTCAAGTTCTCCAACTTCGGTCCCCTTCGATGTCATCGCAGCTCGCAAATAGATCATTCTTCCTTTCTTTGTCTAAACCATCAGATATCCCCAGTTTTGAGATCAATGAATTTGTCAAAGCTACAAAAATTACTACTAAGGACCACAACTCATTTGCCACGATATTCCCTTGATCAAATTTTCCGCCATGCTACTGAACTGGTAAGGAAATGAAAAACTTGCGTGACCATACAATAATTCCACATACAAAACTAGAAACTGCCATAGACTACTGTAACTGTCAGCAGCTCTAGGTCTTTATTTAACAAGTTCAAGGAAAAAATGATTTTTTAAGTATTTTACGGTGCGCGTCTTCGGAAACAGACAAAGTTTGTACGGCTTTTCAAAAACTCGTTTACTCGAGTTATCGCCATTCATTATAGCTTTATCATCTTATTAGGTGGAAAGCTCTTTGTGTTTGTGTGTCTTGTTATTCGATATTTGATACTCTTTGTTAACTGACGAAAGAAAAGGGTATTTATGGTGACAAATGTTCACCATCTTGCAAATTAAACTTGACAACAGTTTTTAACACAGAAACCATATTATCGATCTTCATTCTCGAATAAAACTTGATGGAACCAATTGCAAATTAACATCACGACACTCGAAATTTGTTAAAACCAAGGCAAGTTAAAGTGCATTTTATCCTCTCTTGTGAGATGATTTTTGGTCACGTCCTGACCAAGTTCCCTTTTCCGGTGTTTTTTAAAATAAGGAATTTAAATATGTAATGACGACCACAGTGTTAGCTGGGTAACACTGATTAAAGGGGATCGGGGAGGAGAGGCCATCAAAATAGTTTCGGGTGAAAACAGAATGGATCTTGGAATAGGGTCCAATAGATATGGAGGAGTTGATGCACAGAGCCGTTTTTCAAAAACGTGAAAAAGATAGTTGATATGTTATAAGGTGTTTTGTTTCATCGTTTTTTCGCCATTTAATACTGATTACATGACGTTGATATCTAATCCTTTTCCCGCACGGACTAAAAAACTCATTAGTTATTCTCTCACTCAAAGTGATCTTCAAAGAGCTTTTCAAACTTTGATCAAGCAAAACAGTATTCGTTACGATACAATGGTAAAGGTATCTGAGAGTGTAAATAAGAAGTGTTCATGGTCAAACTTAATAAAATCTATGAACTTGATCTTACTCAGAAGTCAAGAATGAAACTGACTTTTGATAAACTGAACAATCAAGGAGAAGAGTGAAGTTTTAACCATGCTCTATGTATATTTTGTACATTAAGCAACCTTTTGCGGCACATATAAATTGTACTTTATTCTTGATCATGGCAGTATCTCTCTACAGCAAACAGACAGGCAGACTATTCCAGGAGCTAAAAGGCCTCAGAAAAGGGAAAGTATTGACAATAAGAAAAACCTCCCCCTGGGTTTGTCCGAAAGCTTCATTCAAGTTTAAGAAGGTAGCGATACTTGGAACATCTTAAGGGATTTTTAAAGAAAACTTTTTCAAAGAAGCTTTATTCATTTTTTCCTAACGAAAGGCGGGAATCAAATGGCTTGATGAGTGACTTATGTGCTGCCACAAATCGATCAGTTTTCAAGCTAATTTCTGGAGATCTTTCAGTATAATTAACACTTGAAGGTTTTTTTACAAAGCATCATCTGGCTCTCTCTATTTGTGTTCTGGCTACAACAGTCAACAAACTTTCTAGGTTACCAGAAGTTGCTCATTGAAAAAACTGGACAGAAGGAGGAAAACGAGGAGTACCATGCGGTAATATGAGGTCACCCATTTATTCTTATTCTTCGGTTTACGAAGATATTTTATTCGAATGTTTTTATTATCAAAAAATTGAGAATATTGCGAGCGCTCTCATCAGTCGAAAGTTGTATTTGAATGTGAGTTGGTAAAAAGACTATGACGTTAGATTTGCACGTAGTTTTGAATGATCTTTCAAACCCATAGGAGGAGATTTTCTCCATCGCATCATCTTTTCACTCCTAGGTCGCAGGAAGAATTTCTTAAAAGTTATCCAAACTCGAGAAGCAGTTGATAATTCGTCTCGAATTTCCTAAACCCCTTTAGTCTCTCTCAGGCTAAGTGAACGCGCAATAAAGGAATTTCTTCTTTACATGTTCAAAATCAAACTTTGATGATTTTCATTTAATACAGATGTTGTGCATAGAGACGAGAAGGTAAGGGGATAGAGAGGGTCAATCAGGGCGTCGGCCGGGATATGCCCATTTCATTCAAATTCTCTTTAGCTTCGAGCGGAAAGGGAAATCTGTTTCTTTAGACTTCTGCTTCGTGGT